AAAACACCCTTGGGGCCCTGTAGAAGATTCTAATCATCCAGGAAAAATGTGACCATGGAATCACATAAATCAGCCTCAGTGGGATGAGAAAGGAATGTGAGAAATATTTAACAGGTAGGCCAGCCTTTTCTAGATGGAGGGCATGCAACCATATTTTTGAAAAACTGCATATATCAAGTCTTTCCTAATCAAAGCACATTTTAAAAGCTCATTAGGAAAGATCAGCCATTAATGAAATCCCACAACGTATCCTTTGTAAGTTTAAAAAATATCTATTTTGTAATACAAATAAGTGTTCTATAGTTTTTTAATTCTGCAAATTTTCATAACAGGTGAATCATATTTTCTTTAATAGGTGAATTATTTTCTTAAAAGTGGTGACTGTCAGAATTTAATCTGTCCTTTATTATTCATTTTCAGTATGGACACCCTGTGTAGGATCCAGTCTCCCTGCTGTATCCCCAAGTAACTAAAAACAGCGCCAGGCACCCAGTAGGTGTTCATTTAGTGCCTTTGCTCTGTAAAAACACAAATTTTCATTTCACGTACTTTTCACATATATCTCTCTTTCACTTAAGATTTGTTTTTATTTCTTCTTTTGGCAGTCTCTGAGCCTAGTGACTATCCCTAGAGTTAGGGTAAAAACAAGTGGTAGAATTCTTTTTTTAAGGACTAAGTTTTGTTCTTTTTTTTTTTAGATTTTATTTATTAGAGAGAGAGAGAGAGAACAGGTGGGGAGGGACAGCCGGAGAGGGAGAAGCGGGCTCCCCTGAGATCATGACCTGAGCTGAAGGCAGATGCTAACAACTGAGCCACCCAGGCGTCCACGGACTAAGTTTTGTTTTATTATCCTAACTAGTAAATAAGTAAAAGGCTGAGGGAATAGTAGTGAAATTTGTGGCCTTTTGACTGAAGAGGTAGTATCTCAAGTCTGAATTTTGTCAACAAGCATCAAATGAAAGTCCTACTGATAAAACACTTAAGGGCTACAACAAACATGATAAAATAATTTAAATATATAATAACCAGAAATTCCAAAACTACAGTGTTTATTGTAGTGGAAGAATGTTAATTCATTGCATACATTTCTAAAGCAATATGAAATGGCACTTAAAGAGTGAAAATAACCAGATAATACATAAAATCACACTTGGAAAAAATATTCCTTTTTTCAAGGAACATGTATTGGGTACCCACCATATACCAGGCTAAATCCTGTTTATTACAAACTACTAACAAACTGTTCTCGAGACATACCTATGCCTCATTGCCCTTAAACAAACATTAGTGTCTATCATATCCACTGTGCTATTTAATAAGTTTTTTTTTTTTTTAAGATTTTATCTATTTATTTGTCAGAGAGAGAGAGCACAAGCCAGGGGAGTGGCAGGCAGAGGGAGAAGCAGGCTCCCCGCTGAGCAGGGAGCCCGATGCCGGGCTCGATCCAGGACCCTGGGATCGTGACCTGAGCTGAAGGCAGAAACTTAATCTGAGCCACCCAGGCGCCCCAGTGCTAGGAATATTTCTATAAACAAGACAAACACTATCTCTGTCCTGGATTCTCAGAGAGGAACAAAGAAAAACCAAGTAGTTAGAAATTACAACAAAGAAATAAACAAAGGACCAGGAAATGATAACGGGGAACTCCTCTGGATAGGGTGGTTGGAAAAAGGCCTCTGAAAAAGTGACATCTATGCCCTCAATGATGAAAAGGAGACAACTATGGGCAGACCTGGGGAAAGAGCAGGAAGAGGCAGCAGGAATAGCAAGTGCAAAGGACCTGAGGTGGGAATGAATGTCAAAGAGCAAAAGATGGCAGTGTGGCTTGAATATAGTGAGCAAGGGTGCATATGGCACAAGCTGAAGTCAGAGAGGCAGAAAACTAGATCACACAGAGCACTGCAGGCCATGGGGAGAAGTCGGTATGTCATTCAGAGTGTAAGCCATTAAGGCTTTTAAACAAGAAAGCAAGATGATCTGAACACATTTTTATAAAAATCATTCTTGCATTTGGGTGAAGAATGGATTAAAAAGAGGCAGGATGGAGGAACGGGGAGACCAGTTGAGTGATTTTGACTAAAATGCTAAGAGTGGACTGCTGACAGAAACATGGTGAATTCCAAACACACTCAGCAGATGGCAGATGAGGTTGGATGTGGGGCTTGATGAAGGACGTACTTTTCACATATATCTCTCTTTCACTTAAGATCTGTTGTCCCTGAAGGACAGGGAGGAATCGAGGGTGGATCCTAGACCTGGGTTGAGCAATTATATGAATGGTGGTACCATTTACTGAAGTGGGTGGTGCAAATTATGGAGATTTATTCTTCACATACTGTGTGCTCATTCCTCCTGATGGGGGACCAAAGACATGACAATTGCCAAATCTGATGAATCTTCATCGGATTTAATCTCCTCTTCTGACATTGTTAACCACTCCCTCTTAAAACTTCATTCCCTCTTGGTTTCTAAGACACCTCATTCTTCCAGTTCTTCACTTACTCATCAGACATCCTTCTCAGGTTCCATATACCCAAGGGCTCTGTCCCTGGCCCTCTGCTATTTCCTTCAATACACTCTCTGTTGGTGACCTCATCCAAACAACCCATAACTTTAACTACTATCTACATGATGCCTTCCAAATCTGTATCTCCAACCAGAACTTTCTCATCTCCAGAACCATCCATCCAACTGTCTTCTGCCCACTTCCATTAGGATGTCTCAGCTGCATCTGACTCAACATACCCAAAAGTAACTTCATCATCGCTGTTCCCTCAATCCCACATTCATCTGTGCAAAGCCCCACTTGCCAAAAATGGGCCCAGCTTCCCAAACCCCAAACCTTAGGATCATCTTTCACTCCTCTTTCAAGTCCACAGCAAATCAATTTGCAAGCCCTATCAAATTTACTTCCTCACTAGCTCACAAGTGTGTCCTCTCTTCATACCTCACTGCTTTAATTCAGCTCTTCATCTTCCACTGGATTATTACAATAGCCCTCTGGTTTCTTCAATCTCACATCGCTCCAACCCATTCTTCACGTCTCCAGAGAGAAAGAAATCCTTCACCAGCTTCCCACAGGATAAAAATCCAGCCTTACAAATGGCAAATGAGGTCCTTTGTGAGTTAATGCCTCTGGCTGGCTCTCCTGCCTCAAGTGCCCCCCATCTCTCTCCCACCATACACTCCTACCTCCCACACCAACCTACCAACGCATCTCTTCCTCCAGTGGCCTGGACTCCAGTCTAAGATGATGGCCCTCCTTAGGGCTCTCAGGGCACCCCACTGTCAAAGAGAACTTCTCATATTACTTATCTCACTGTGCTTCTCCCTGTAAAATATGGGAGGGCAGGGACTGTCCTTCCTAGGGTATTTTTGGTGCTTAATTCTTACAAGGTGTTTAATAAATGTTTGCTGAATAACTGTATCTGGATCAAATTCAGGAAGGTTTTCTATAAAAGTGGACTCCTATCCATGACCAGGAAAAGACGACTTGGCAAGGAGAAACATTCGATGGTTTTCCAAAATTAAGCAGGAACATTACTGGCTGATTTTCACATACTAACATTCATCTTTCCTTACTGAAGAGCTGGGCACACCCAAGGTGTATGCAGCTATTATTCTGATGATCTTTCATATTAATATCCGTTAATACTTAGTTTTTCAGTTCTGCTTTTAGTACCTTGAGTCTAATTAAGATCGCCCTCACCGCTTTGTCCTCAGTGGCAATGTCTGACCTCTCCTGTGTAATTATTCTGTCTGAAGCACACAAGATTTCTGATCAACCTCATTTTTAGGCTATTTCCTACCTGTTTACTTAAAACACAAATCGTGTCACCATTGCCAACAAACGCCCCCCCCCCACATTTAACCTTTTTTTCCTCAAAGGAGACATTTACACAGCATCTGTCAACCTCCAGAGGATGAGGAGACTTTTTTACCTTTATACGTCACCACCCTTGGAATCATTGGTTAAATGATAGCTTTCCTGGTTCCAAAGATTACATGAAGGATTTTTCCATGAAAGAAATTACTGAGTAAACTTGTATTCAGACACTGTGATGCAACTGACATTTTGTGAAACAAAAGAAACGAAAAAGTCGACGTGGTTTCTTAGGAGTTGGCCTTCTTTAGAACCATTACTTAACCACGTTCTGAGGCAACAAGTCCTTTGCTTTGAACAACACAAAAAAGTCCTATGACCAACAACACTTCAGATGTCCATAAAACAACTCATCCAGTGCAATAAATCGAGCCTGAGGTTTACTTTAAGTTGACCCATGAAATTTGGCAAGAAAAAAAGGTCATTAAAAAAAAAAAGAAAAAAGGGAAAATGAGCTTTTTAATGTCCTGTGTCTTGTCAAACCGTAGTGACTCTGCCTGGCGTTATTACGGATTTGACCAAATTCTTTTAAGCCAGGTCATTTCAGTGGTATTCCCAGTCTTTGCCTCCTAACCCAGAAGTAATGTAAATGTCCACGCGGTGGGTGCTCGGCAGACTGGAGAAGAGACCCAGGAGACTCCAGGGCTCCTCTCTCACGGAGGCTTAAAAAACGGATTGGAGGGCATTCGAAATGGAACTTACAAGGTAAAACAAGACATTCGTCTAAAACAAGGAAATAAACCAACAAAGAAAAGCCTGCAACCTTCCGCCACCTCCCAAAGGTGGAGAACGCCAGAACCCGGGGTTCCCCGAACCGGAATCCCAGGCGGGAGGGCCGGGGCGACCCCGGGTCACACGCGGGGAAGGCGGGCGACCCCGCGCCAGCTAGAAGCAGCCGCCCGCCGGCCCTCGGCCCCCGCGGCCCCCCAGGAGGGAGCAAGGTGGGGAGCTCGCCCCTCCTCCTGCACACGCAGGGACCGGGAAGAAGGAAGCCTCGGCGCTCCCCACCCCCGCGGCTCCCCCGGCCCCGGAGCGCGCAGGCCGCGCCCCCCTCCCCACCTCGGCGCCCGCCGCCCCGGCCCCCGGCCCCCGCCGCCCCGGCTCCGGCATCACTCACACAGCCCGAGCGCCGCCGCCAGCACCGACCACAGCCAGCGCCTGCGGGCTGGGGCTGCGAGCACTGTCGCGGCTCCCGCGGGCGCTGCCATCGTCCTCCCGCCGCCGCCGCGCCCCGGGCCCCCGTCCCCACTGCGCTCCGCTCGGCTCGCCACAGGAGCTCCGGCCTCGTCGCCGCCCGCGCCCGCTGGCACCTCCACGCCGCGCTCCCCGCTCCCGGCCCCAGCCGCAACCCCCGCCCCGCGCCGGCCCCCGTGGTCCGCTCATTGGCCTGCCCCGCGTCCTCGGGAGGACGCCATTGGAGGACACCGACCGTCCATCAGCCCCTCTCGTCCGGAGGGCCCACCCCCCCCGGTCCCACCCAGGCTCCTGTTCCCGGCGCTGGAGGCCGGGGTCTCCGGAGGTGCTGGGCTCCCGCCGCCCGGCCCTCCGCCCGCCTGGGTGTCCATGCGTGTCTCGCCCGCCGACCGCCTGCCGCCGTCTCCTCTGTCTCTTGGAGGTCCAGTCCCGCAGATCTCTTCACAGTCTCTCCCGGCCGCGAGTCCTTGCCGGGTCTGTGCTCGCCTCGGGGTCAGCCCTTCTAGGTTTCTCTGGGCCTCACCTACAGGAAAAAGCAGCACTCCATTTACAAAGGAAAAAAAAAAAAGGGGGACGATGGGATGATTCAGTGGGCCGCTTGGAACACATTTCCCGCCTTGCCCTTTGCAAGGCCTGTCCTTCGCCTCGACTGGGTAATTTATGTGTTGCAATTTGAGAAATCAGCTAGCTTAAAAAAGAAGTCTCCATCTTGCCCGAATCTCCTCTTAGGAGGCCTTCTTTCGGCTTAAGAAAGGCTGGAAACCGGGAACTCTTTCCTGCTACTTGGAACACAAATGAATGTGCTTTTAGTTTGTTTTGCTTTTGCAGACAAAATGTTCCTTGATTTGTCAATAAAAATTGGAATGGGGAAGTTCCTGAGCCTCAAGTGCCTTGGTTGACTCTGCTCAACTTGGTTCCCTTGGCCCGGAACAGTGTCTGCTGCTCACCGGTTGCCCCATAAATGCTGGTGAAAAGTGTTTGGAAGGGTCCTTATAAGAATACCCTACAAAAGGCACACCAGAAGGAGGGACAGGAGCATGACAAGATGAGAGTGAATGAAGAAAAGGAAGAATCTAGGTGGGCGGCCAATAGAGTGAAGGAAGGAACAAAATGTGGACATTTAGGGCAAGAGGAAGGGAAGAGTATGGTGAGAAAACCCAAATATAACCTCTCATTTCAGGGTTTTTGTCTAAAGTCAATTTAGACAAACTGATATTTTTGCTGTTTTAGCCTACTAACCTTGTAAGCAAACTCATAATAATTAGCGGCAGTGAGAGAAAACTAAAAAAGCATGACAACCATTTTGCCCTATTTTTCTCTGCAAGATCCTTATGAAGTGTGTCTGGAATGTCACAGGTTGGATTGAATACAAATGCTTTAAGTGAGTAACTACTATGTGCTGTAGATGTAGAACACCTAGACTTGACTCTCAAGAAGCACGTAGGCCTCCAGTGTAGACATTACAGGTACTAAATTTTTTTAAATGCTTGAAGAGAAGGAGAAACCCAAGGCCAACAGGGACATTGTTTCTCAAGGACACATGTCATGTTACAGGCATCTCTGACTGTGATATACCTCAACACACCTTCCTCTTCTGGGAACCGCTGGTGCAAGAGGTGTGTGGGAAAGATGCAGAAAGGATGTAGCATGTGAGGTGGACTTTATTTTTCTTTTTAAGATTTTATTTATTTATTTGACAGAGAGAGAGAGACAGCGAGAGAGGGAACACAAGCAGGGGGAGTGGGAGAGGGAGAAGCAGACTTCCCGCAGAGCAGGAAGCTCAATGCGGGGGCTCGATCCCAGGACTCTGAGCCAAAAGCAGATGCTTCTCCCTCTTCCCCCACGCCCCTACCCCCAGCTCATGCTCATGCGTGTGCGCGCTCTCTCTCTCTCTCTCAAATAAATAAATAAAATCTTTAAAAAAGAGAGAAAAAAGAATCCAGAAAGACAGATATGACCTCCAGTTTCTAGCCTGAGTGGAGAATAATGCTACCAGTCAACCAAAACGAAAAACCAAGGAAGAGAACCTGGTCTTCGAGGACGGCTAACAAGCTGGGCCTTGGACATAGCTTAAGATGCTGACCGATGTCAGGGAAACTGCAGAAGGGCTCCTTGGAACCTGAGGCTGCTGTGGCAGCAAGGTGTTCCACAAGAAACATTGGGCCATCAGTCTCAAGTCAATAGAACGTCCTTCCCTTCAAATATGTGATGTAAAGGAAAAATGACTTCCCTTGGAAGGGTCAGAGGGCTTGGTCTATCTGAGCACTAGTTGCTGTCAGTCCTCCCTAGGGACTCCTGGGTGACAGCAGATGTGGCCACTCCCAGACTGAGTACACCAGCCCCCCTTTCTTCCCTAGCTTCAAATCCCCGGCCAGCTTCTCTCCCTGCTTCGCTTGGGATCTTCTCCTGTCCCCCGAAGCCTGTGTGCACCCCCTCAGGGAGGAAAACCTGTCCAGAGAGAACAGACAAGAACACCTGGACTCTGAGGTGTTTTGCAGGGGGCTGGACTTTCCATGGATATTTCCACAACTTCCACAACCACCAGAGAGTGGACAGAATGAATTTCCCATTTACTCTCTTTTCAGAGCCTTTCATTGGCTCCTTATTGCCCTTAGCATGACGTCCAAACCCTTTGACTGGCATGCACATCCCTGCAGACTGTTTGTGTGAGCGCCTGCCTGGGGCCCTTCACCCCACACTCCAGCCATGCAACCCAAACCTGCCTTCAGTTCCAACACAGGCCCTCTCGAGCCTGCAGGGCTGTGTTCCCATGGCTTCCTCGGGCCTTAGGCCTCCCCCTCTGCCCCTTGACAGTCAAGAGTTTATCTTCCCATCTTTCAGAACATAACTTGAGGGTGAATTCCTCTAAAAAGGTTTCCTGCAGTCTCTAATATCTCCCTACACTGCCCTGTGTAGACTTGACCATTGTCACCAGGTACAGCTCTGTACTCATTCAGATATCTAATGATTTTAAAACCTAAAATGGGACTCATGTCTCAAGGTCTTTGCGAACACAGTTGAGAGTAATGTATTAGGTGGTAAGTTCTCGATACAGGTTACTATTATCATATCAGCCCACTTGCTTGCTATTATCCACTTACTTGTCTGTCTCCCATATAAAATGGTCCCCTCAAGGGACACAAGGGACTTTTTTTCCTAGGGCCTAAGACAGAGCCTGGCGCAGAGTCATCCTGGTCTCCTGTTAACCTCACACTTAGCTGCACTGTCCTCATTGCTGTTTCTGGAACATTTCAGGTACACCCATGTCTCCTGGTGTTTGCACTGGCCGCCCCTTCTACCCAGTTGGTTCTTCCAGATATGCGCGTGACTCACACCTTGTTCCTCTTCCAGCTTTTGCTCTCATGTTATCTTCTCAAAGAGGCCCATCTTTACCACCCTGTTCAAATCACACACCCTCCCTATACAATTTCTTTCTTCATTATATTTATGGTCTGTCTCCTCTCACTAGAATGTCTGCTCCACCCGGGCAGGGGCTGTTTCTGTTTTGTTCACGAATATACTCAGCACCTCGCACACAGCAGATGCTCAATACATTTTTGCTGGGGGAAGAGATGAATGAATGTTTATTAAATTAATCTAGAGAAGTTACAAAAAAAAACCCAAAAAACATCATGCAAGGTTGTAGTTTCTGACCCTGCTGTGGAGAGTAAATGGGAAAACAAACAAGCCAAAAACCCCCTTGGATTCCAGTCATTATTGTTAGTCCGAGGTCCTCCCTCAGACCTCCTTCTCTTCACGTATCCCTTTCTTCCTCCTGGAAACTCCCCTTTTCCAGCGCATGTAGTTCAGACAATACAATCAGAATCAACTGAAGACTTCCAATCAGGTCAGAAGGGTCCTTTGAATGGACGGCTGCCTCTGAAAAGAAGGGGCTCCTTGGGGAGAATTTTCCCCACAGAATCAATAATAAGAAAAAAAATCACGTGCAGAGGCCTTCTGATAATAGTTACTGACACACAGGCCCATTGGCCTCACAGATTTCCTTTTTAACGCAGCGCACAATAAACGCAGTAGTGAGGAAGGGTTTGCCTGGGGAACGTCTCAGGGCTTTGTGTCTTCACTTAATAGAGATAAGATAAGGAGCGCTCAGGAGCATCTACTGCTGGCAAATATATAAGGGCAGAATTTTCTAGAGCTGGAATTAACGGGACAAAGTAGGAAGAGGGTGAAATTTTCAAAATTTCAAGCAGATCTTTGTGATTGTGGTGGGATCCTCACCCCCTCCTGTATTCTCACGGGCATTCCTTCCTTGCTTGTCTTTTTAAAGATCTGTTGCCACAGGAATTGGAACACTGATCTATGGGTAGGGATTGCAAGAGGTTCCTGGAACACCGAGAATTTGACTATTAATGAATAAATATCAGACGGAGTGAAAAATAAATCCCAGGCCATTGTGAAAAAGATTTGCCTGAAGCGAAATCAATTTCATTAATATTTCTGTTGACAGAATGGCTTAATTCAGGAGAAGGGTTGCATTTTTTGCTAGCAAATATTGAAAATTTGAAGATTAGAGTTCTAGTGTCTCTGGTGTTTCTGGGCACCAAATTGGGGGAACAAGAATAATAGGGGTCCTTAGAGAGGTGTTGTCAGTAAAAGTAGATGTCACCAGGCTTTTTCATTCACTGTGACTTGGAGAAAATGTTCCTCAAGATCCTCTGTCCCCTTGTACACTGTGACAATCTGTGTACTACAAGGGAAGGATGTGCCCTGGAGGGGGTCACAGGCATTCCTTTACCAGGATAGAGATGTTTCTCCCTGTGAGTTAGGCAACTGATATCCTGAGTTTTGTTACTGTCAGTTTTTCCGCACCTTTGTGAGAGGCAAATGAGATACTGTAATGGAGCCTGAAGAGTAATAGACAAACTATTTTCCAATCACTAGAGAGAAGTAGGAGTAAGAAAAAAAAAAACCCTGAAAATGATAATAACTATAGTAAATTCAAGTGGGAAAGGAGAGCATAGTAACTGTAGGAGCTCAGGTTTTCAGAAATCTGTAGTGGTTACAGTATTTTACCTTACAAGTTATATTTTTTAGTTTCCTCGTTCTCGTGAGAAATATAAACTTCTTAAGTGTCTAGGGAACATTTTTTTCCAGTTAGGTTTTGATGAATGAAGCGAGCTGGCAC